GCTTGTTTTCGAGCAATTCATTCTTCTAATTTTTTATTTCAACAAACGAATATTTTAATTTGTGAACAATTTATTTAGGATTTTAAATTTATTAAAAAGTTGAGTTGAGCGAAACACTGCTTTCACGATTTTAAACAGAACCAAGTTTTTATCCATTTAATCCTTTTATTAAACAAACAAGAATTCGAATATAAATTAGTTGGACGAGATTTGGTTGTAATAAAATCAACTTACTACATTCGAATTCCGCCCATATTTTAAATTTCGTTAACAAAAATTCATAATTATAGCACCAATTTAAATCTATTGCAAAATTATATTATTGATTCTGTAATTATGACACCAATACCATTGCAAAACTCCTACTAATGCACTAAATTCTAGTAGTGATCTATAATACTCCAAGATTTTATTTAGAGTTTTTGATTAATAAACCAACTGAATTAAAATTTTGGATGACGAAGTGTCTGATGTAATGAAAGCTCGAGTTGCGTGTTAAAATTCGTCACTGCCTTTTATAATTTTATATTATATATACAGAAGGTATAAGTTATAACTATCGATGCAGCAAGTTCAAACTTGGCAAACATCACATTTGCGGCTTTGATATTATTTTAGAATTTAAATGAACCCATCAAAATTCAACACAATTTATAATGATCAACTGGTTATCATTACTATATTAGATAATAAAGTAATTAGTGGAGATCTATTATAAATCAAGGAAAAGATTGTGCGATTAAATGTTTAACTGGGTCACCAACAATCACAATTTTGTCATTTTTCTGGCCACCGTGTTTAATTTATTTATTTATTATTATTTTTTTGGCAAATGTGTTTAATTTAGTTAATAAAGCTGTGAAAATGTAAAAAAAAAAAAAAAAAGTAGAATTAAGTTTGGGTTCGGCTCGTTAATCTAACAAGTCGATAAACGAAGTCGATTTTACACTCGGCTTGTTAACTTATGTTCAGAAAAAAATCATATAAATATCCATATCTATCAAGACTAACAAGTCGGGCTGAGCTCGCGGCTTGTTAACTATGTGAGTTTCAAAGGAGCTCGAGTTCAAGCTTTAATGAGTTGAGCTCATGAGTGTCTAAAATTTATATTACTCACTTTGTTTCGTATTAAATACATTTTTAAGTTGTGACACACATAGTAAATAAAAATAGTAATAGATGTTGTTCTTATTTGTGCGATACTCGTGCGATACACGAGCTAGTTTTATTAAAATTAGCATAAAGATTTGGATGATTGGAAGAACACAAAATGCATGTATTGAAACAAAACAAAATGTAACTTACATATTATTAAATATATCATTGTCCATAATATTATTTGTTTGGTCTTTTGTTACATTCCAAAATTATATTAGGATAGTAGATATGCTTAAATAAATCAATTAAATTATTTACCAGGATATATATGATATGACTTATGCTGTTTTTATGAAGATTGCATAACCAAATATAACGAAAATTGTAAAAACGTCTTTCTTGATAATGAGTAGCCTCATTATTTTAAAATTTTAAATTACTTAATTTAAGGAAGAGAAAAATCGTGTAAGTGTATGCAATCAATTTCAAATTTGTATTCTAGAGAATAAAAAAAAAAAGGCAAAATTTTTAAGATGTTCATGTGTGGGGTACAGAACGGACGAACGTAATTAGAATTAAATATATTTCCCACTCATGCTCGTATCCGAATCAGCGAGGATGAACAGAATGATCGAGCATTGTCCATGTTGAGGATCCAACGAATACACGAAATGTTGAGTGTTCAATTGACAACCATCATTACCCAGAATTGTCTGAACCATGTGCATTAAATGCCAAGGGATTCAAAAATCGCCCATCTAATGGTGCTTAGCAAGCTCAGACACGTGTCACTATCCGGATGAACTACTAATCTTGAGATTAGATTGTATTGTACAAGGCATTAAATGTTGAATGACTAAATATCAAAAGAATATTTTGTAAAGGAAACTAGAAAATAAAATCCCTTAGAGGATTGTATCACATCTCTTATAAAAGGAGGAAGATACGACATTAAATGCAAGGATTAAATGCTCTCATTAGTGATAAAAAGTCACGAGTAGAACTTCCATTCATACCAATTCTATTACATAACTTTATTCGTGCAGACCGAACATAGTATACATCCTAGTATACGGTTCGAATTATTGTTGGTCATATTTTAGACATCAACAGTTCCAATTTGATTTCATTTTGAATTTCAAATTAAAATTATTTGTTTCTGTTTTATGTTATCCGAACTAAATGGTAAGGGATTTTTAAGTTTTAATTTTCAATTTGAATTGAGCCCGATTTCTATGCAATTCAATTTTTTTTTTTGATAAACATGATTTGTTGCAATTAGGTAAAGATATATGTTATAGTATTTTGTCTAATTCGAATTTCTGATTTTATGGTAAACATTTTTTTCCATAAAAAATGAGAGAATTTTGACTTTTACAAAATTGTCGTGCCGAATTTTACCTAAATTAATTCGATTTTTATGCATTCGATTTTTTTAATAAACAATTGATTTGCAGGAAAAGATATATGTGGTATTATTTTTCCTAATTCGAGATTTCCAATTTTATGGTAATCAGTTCTTTTTAAATAAAAAATGAGAAATAATTTTGGTTTTTGCAAAAAAAAAAAATAATAATAATAATAATAACTTTTGCAATATTGTAAGCATTAGTTGTAATTTACCTAAATTAAATCACAAAACCCATGAATTTAGGTGCATATATAGCTGATCGATTTTTCGAAAATAATTCAAAAATAAAATTTAAAAACTACTAAAAATAGAATGCAATAAATGTTGGTTGACTTTTTTTGTTACTAATTTTGATAAATATGTTCTCTCTTTAATATAGATAGATTTAAATATAGATATAGATATAGATTCTAATTTCTATGTGTTGTATTTCCATTACGACCCTCACATTCAATCTACTTACAATTACATGATTTTTTTTTTTTTTTTTAATATATGTCATTAGATATTCATTTAATCAACACAGTCTGAAAGTTAGAGTTCGAAGGAAAGGAAATAAATATCTTATTTTTATTTGAAGGTAAATAATAAAGCAATACATAATTGGTTTATGAATCATGAATATATGAATGATTTAGAACTAGGGATTAACAAGTGTTGATTAATTTGAACACGTATAGAGTGCTTATTTGCCGACAGGTAACCTCATAATTTGAGTCGATTAGTAGCATGATTAGACACTTCATTCGTGGCTAATTGAAAAGGTTGTTTTCTCTAGTTAAAAGAAAATAAATGAATAATCAAGGCTGTGCATATATGTACTTATAGATAGGTAAGTATGCATTGTTCACATAAATAAAACCATGATATTAATTTGATGATGCAAATATGCATTTTTGTTCGCATAATATGACAACTCGACCCACCTAATCGTTAGCCTTTCTCACAATAATTTGTGCATATATGTACTTGATTTTGATAGAAAAGACACTTCAATTCATTATCAACGTTGTTGCAGTAAAAAAATTAAAAGGAAGAAGAAGAACGTGACAAAATTACTTAATAAATATGTTACATAGAAAAGTATTATTAACTTTCATATATTTTATTTTATTTTATTTTTTTTTTTTGTTGTTGTAAATAGACCAGATAATTTCATTTAATACAACAACTATTTAAAAAATGTATTGCAAAATGGCCTATGCAAATATTTAATTTAAAGTAGCTTTGCTATAGACTATAAGCAATGGCATAGGCAAAAAGTTCGTTCAATTTAAATTAGTTTTTCTATAGACTATAAGAAATGCCATACGCAAAAAAATAATACAAATTATCAGTGTTTTTCAACCCGGACCGGCCCGGCGGGTCGACCCGGGACCCGGAGCCAGAACCGGTCCGGGTGTGCTAATTAGACCGGATAACAAATGAACCGGTCAAACCCGGTCAACCCGGCCTTGACCCGGTCGACCCGGGGCATTGACCCGGCCGGGTCAACCCGGTTGACCCGGTCCCTACATATATTTTAAATTTTTTTTTTTATTTTTTTTATTTTTTTAAAAATAAAACTATGTATATATATTTATATGGTAAATATTTATTATTAAAAAAATATTATTATCACTTTAATATACAAATTTTACATACAAAACATTTAATTTTGTTATTTTATGTATATTTATATGACAAAATACTATATATATATATATAATTTTAAAAATTTTAAAATTAATTATCCGGTTCAGCAATTGACCCGGTGACCCGACGGTTGAACCGGTGACCCGGTGACCCGGAGACCTTCCCGAGTCAATCACCGGGCCGGGTTTAAAAACTATGCAAATTATAGTAGTTTTGCAGTAGATATAAGCAATGACTTATGCAAAAAATTCATTGACGGAACGAGTAATGCTATAGAATCCACTTGGATGACAACATGGGTTACAGCATAAGTGTAAATATATATTTTTTTTTTATTTTTCATAATGCATTTACACTTGAGTTGTAACCGAAGTTATCAACTAACTGGGCAAAATAGCATTATACATTTAATAATTAATATATGAGTTTAACATCTAGAACTTTTTGACAAAAAATGGTTTGAAAAAATGTTTTCGACTGACTGACACAATTCTAGATTAACATGCGCATTTGAAGTTGCGTATTTATTTTGGTTATTATTGACTGAGTGTTATAATTTTCGATGACGTGGTCTCCAGATTTGACTACTGCTCTATGTTAAAATTTATAAAACAACTTATTAATTGCTTTGATAATAATTTAATATAGTCAACAATTTGCTTCAATTTAATACTACCACTTGTTGCAATAATCAATAGGAGGACTTGCTACTACTACAATTACTTTTTTAGGACATGAATTTATTTAATTTAAACAGTATGTATGCATCAATATGCCTCTAGATTGAACCCCAAAAGACAAATTATGTAGTTGATGACACACAATATCAAAGAAATTATGGATTATTATCATAGTATCAATATCTCGTGATCTTTGAACACTATATCCATCGTGTATTGTATATGCTAATCTCCTGCCATTTCAGTTGAGTGATATATTAACATGTGTGTATTATAGTGAACATATGAATGTGACCGTCATTTTTCCACATAAAATTATGAACCAATTTTCAATTGCTATATGCCACAAAAAGATTTCCATGCCATCTTATGCCCAAAGATGAACAAGGAAATCAACAGACTTGTGGCATGGGCCCAGATTCTCAACAACGGGCCCGTAATTGTTGTAACCTTCGGGCCAAACATGTGCCCAGAAAGTCTGCAAACGGCTAGATTATGTAGCTCAACAAATTACGCCATTTTTTCGGATAGTAATGGAGATGGCAGGGAGAGAGAGCTTTGTAGCAGGAGTGCAAGACACTGAAGTTAATATGAATCACAAGTATTATGCAGACTTGAGAAAGGGAAGCCAAAAAAAAAAAAGGGGACACTACTGACAGAAGTAGACCTCATCCAAAAAGATGAACCAGAAACACAAATGACTCGTGAGAAAATTCTCAACACGATATTCACATCGAGCATATTTCACCAGGCAAACAAGTCCTTACACAAATATGTTTTGCAATGAGGGGCGATAATATTCGGCACCCGGTTAGGACCCCACCTATGCTCTGCAAGCTTAAGTATAAAAAGTGCTTCAGATTCTAAATTGGGACCTTCTGTAAGAATCCTACTCTTTCAGTAAGACCTCATAGTTTTTCACATCACCAGCCAGCCAGATATTCCCGGTTACTTGCAGTTACGGTATTATGCAAGTTGAAAACAGGAACTTGGTTCTCATGTTGCAACCAGAAAAAAAAAAAAAAAAAAAAA